GCCCCCCTCCCCAAAGCTTTTTGCCCCCCCCCCCCCCTCTCCCAGACTTCGCGCGTCTTGCAGACCTTGTGCCATCACTCTGGCATCTGACATAGGCTGCGATGCCGTCTCAGCTCGAGGAGGAGGTGGCTCAGCGCCTCGCCACGTCGTTGAGCCTGCCCAACGCCAATCAGCTCTTGGCCCAGCGCGTCATTGCTCTGTCCCGATCCCTGCCCACGGACAAGGCGTTCGTCAACGCTGCGCGGGCCTTTGGTCGATTTGACGAGGAATTTCTTGTCGGCCTCCGCAGCTTCATCTCATCACACGCAGACCAGAGCAGCGGCACCTCCAGCAATGGCGCTCGCTTTGATGCACCAGCATCTTCCACACACACACGGCAACCCGAGAGGGCTGGTCTGGCCACCTTGGGCGGCGAAAAGCATGTATTTCGCTCCAACAAGCCGAAGAGCTCGCTCTCGGGCGCAGCAGCAAAGCGCGCAGACACTCGAGATGCGCCACCCTCCCATCCATCCGACGCCAACCACTCTGCGAAACGTCCACGTATCTCCAGCACGCAGCTCAGCCATCTCGATGAGGAGCCAGACACACCCGCACCAAAAGCAACGACACCGCCGGTCTTTAAAGCACCTGCAAGGCCCGCCTCCCACGCTCAGGCGCAAGCCCGACCTCGTGGCAGCGAAACGCCCAGCCATCCCGGTGGTCTCACCGAGACAGCTGCACGTCGGCTCGAAGAGCATCGTCGAAAGCGCGCCATGGCTGCAGAATCATCGGCAAAAGCCAAGCAGGCGGCATCGAGCTCTACTGCATCCTCTAGCACAGCATCTGCGGCCTCTTCCTCCCGCATCGCCGACGCAAGGTCCGACCCACGTCAACCTCACGGACGCAACCAAGACTCTGAACGATATCGTCGCGATAACGCCCGCGATCACCGTAATGGACGAACACAGCACCCCGATACTGCACCTCCAAATCACTTCGACCGTCGCACGTGGGACTCGACGCCGCGAAATTTGCCAAACAGAGACGATGCTCGCGACCGATGGACGCCACGAATGTCCAACACGCCGGGCTCATCGCGTCGATCTGACGGCAGTCTCGCTTCGACACGGTCCGCTGGCTCGCGTCGCTGGGACGAGACGCCATCTCGACGCGCACGCTCTCCCTTGCCGTCAGACTTTGATGACAACGCCGAAAGTGAAAACACGGACTGGGACCAGGACAACCGCCAGCTGGATCGCGAGTGGTACGACATGGAAGAGGGCGGCGTAGCCGCAGACGAAGAGCACAATCCCTTCGCTCAGTACGAAGACATGGCGGGACAAGTTGCAGCACCACTCGCTGCCAAGAAGGACAAGGTGACAGCACGTCAGGCACAGTACAACGCAGACTCGGACGCCTGGGAGCGCAACCGCCTCCAGACCAGTGGTGTCGGCCCCCGATCCGCCATCGACCTCGACAACATGGACGACGACGCAGAGAGCCGCGTGCACCTGCTTGTCCACGATCTCAAGCCCCCCTTCTTGGACGGCAAGACCGTCTTCACCAAGCAGCTCGAGCCCATCAATCCAGTCAAGGATGGCCTGTCGGACATGGCTGTCTTTGCGCGCAAAGGCAGCCGTCTTGTGCGTGAGACACGCGAAAAGGCAGAGCGCGCAAAGGCTGCCGGCAAAGTCGCTGCCATGGGCGGCACCACCCTCGGCAACATCCTCGGCGTCAAAGCGGACGACGACCAAGATGACCCGGCTCCGAGCCAGCCTGCTCGCACCAACGGCGTTCAAACTGACAAGGCGGCAACGGCCGAAGCGACGGACGAGAACGAGGGCCGAGGCGACTCGCAGTTCGCCAAGCATCTCAAATCTTCCACGGGTGGCTCCGAGTTCAGCCGTACCAAGACGCTCAAAGAGCAGCGCCAGTTCCTGCCTGCTTTCGCATGCCGCGACGATCTCATGCGCATCATCCGCGAGAATCAGGTGATCGTGGTGGTGGGAGAGACCGGCTCGGGCAAGACGACGCAGCTGGCGCAGTTCCTGCACGAAGACGGCTACACGCAGTACGGCATGATCGGATGCACGCAACCGAGGCGCGTGGCCGCGATGAGCGTGGCCAAGCGCGTGAGCGAGGAGATGGAGTGCAAGCTCGGCGGCACCGTCGGCTACTCAATCCGCTTCGAGGACTGCACCAGCAGCGAGACCAAGATCAAGTACATGACCGACGGCGTGCTGCTGCGCGAGAGCCTCAACGAGGGCGACCTGGATCGTTACAGCGCCATCATCCTAGACGAGGCGCACGAGCGCTCGCTCAGCACCGACGTGCTCATGGGCCTCCTGCGTAAGATCCTTCAGCGTCGACGAGACCTCAAGCTCATCGTCACCTCGGCCACCATGAACGCCGACAAGTTTGCCGCGTTCTATGGCGGTGCGCAGACCTTCACGATTCCTGGACGAACCTTCCCCGTGGACGTGCTGTTCAGCAAGACGCCGTGCGAGGATTACGTCGACAGCGCGGTAAAGCAAGCATTGTCCATCCACCTCTCGCATCCCAAGGGCGATATTCTTGTGTTCATGACGGGACAGGAGGATATCGAGGTGACGTGCCAGGTGATCCAGGAGCGGCTCGGGCAGATTGACGATGCGCCGCCTCTGCTGGTGCTGCCGATCTACTCGCAGATGCCCGCCGACCTGCAGGCCAAGATCTTTGACGCGGCCGAGAATGGCGAGCGCAAGTGCATCGTTGCCACCAACATTGCCGAGACCTCGCTCACCGTCGATGGCATCATGTACGTCGTCGATGCGGGCTACTACAAGCTCAAGGTGTACAATCCAAAGGTGGGCATGGACTCGCTGCAGATCACGCCAATCTCGCAGGCGAATGCCAACCAGCGCTCCGGAAGAGCGGGTCGCACGGGAAGCGGCACGGCGTATCGGCTGTACACCGAGATGGCGTTCCGCAACGAGCTGTTTGCCAACACGATCCCCGAGATCCAGCGAACCAACCTGGCCAATACGGTGCTGATGCTCAAGGCGCTCGGCGTGAGCAATCTGCTCGAGTTCGACTTTATGGATCCGCCGCCGCAGGAGACCATGCTGACGAGCATGTACCAGCTGTGGGTGCTGGGAGCGCTCAACAATGTGGGCGAGCTAACGCCTCTGGGACGCAAGATGGGCGAGTTCCCTATGGAGCCGTCGCTGTCCAAGATGCTCATCACGAGTGTCGAGTACGGATGCTCGGTGGAGATGCTTACGATTGTCAGCATGCTGTCGGTGCCGTCGGTATTCTACCGTCCCAAGGAGCGACAGGAGGAGAGCGATGCTGCGCGCGAGCGTTTTTTTGTGGCCGAGAGCGACCACCTGACTCTGCTGCATGTGTACAACCAGTGGCGCAACAATGGCTATCGCGATTCGTGGTGCAACCGTCACTTTCTGCATCCCAAGACGCTGCGCAAGGCACGCGAAGTGCGCGCACAGCTCGAGGACATTATCAAGTCGCAGAAGCTGCGCCTCGTGTCGTGTGATACCGACTGGGACGGCATCCGCAAATGCATCACCGCGGGCTATTTCCACCAGGCCGCACGATCGGCGGGCATCGGAGAGTATGCAAACTGCCGTACGGGCATCAAGATGCATCTGCATCCAACCTCGGCGCTGTACGGACTGGGATACTCGCCGGAGTATGTCGTGTACCACCAGGTGGTGCTCACGTCCAAGGAGATGATGAATACCGTCACCCAGGTGGATCCGCACTGGCTCGCCGAGCTAGGTGGCGCGTTCTACTCGATCAAGGAGCGCAATGCTACCACGGGCGCTGCAAGGGCCAAGCGCACCGGTGACCTGGACAGGCTCGCAAGCATCGAGGAGCAGATGAAGAAGGACCGCTCGCAGCAGCTCGAGCACGAAAAGCAGGAGCGTGAACGCAGCCAGCTCAGCCGCGCGGCTCAGACTCCGGCTATCGCCACCCCTGGCGCCACGCCGATGCGGTCGCGCGGCAGGCGTTTCTAGTGCGCCGTCATCGCTTTCATCCCGCAGGCTGTCTGGAATGGAATCGCGTACCCTTCGATGCCTCATCATGAAGTTTGTTGAAAGATCGACGCTTGAATGTACATTGCGATGACTGATCATGCGGTACGCGAGGAGAGAGGCTGTCTATCGGACGACCTGGCTGGACTTGACCTCCTTGCCGGTCTTCTTGATCTTCTCGAGCACGGTATCGAAAGGGGCCGAGCCGCGCACGACGACCGACTGCGACTCGAGCGAGACATCGTACGAGTCCACGCCTGTCATTCAAGGAGGACGAGGGTGTGTGAGCGGTTATCGAGATGACAAGGACGGTGGATTGGAAGGGGCCTACCTTGGAGTTTGGAGAGAACGCGCTCGACGGCACCGGAGCAGCCGGAACACGTCATGACCACGTCGAACTTGTACTCGTGCTGTCCACAGTCCAATCCAAAGCCGTGTCAGCATGCTGTCGGTTGGTAAGTTACATTGTGGATGCGGTACGTACCTCGCTCATGGTGATGTAGTTGGAAAAGACAAGAGGTGGTGGTAGAGCGACAAGTGCGGGTGGGTATTGGATCCAGGGTCCACACCCGCACTCGCGGTCCGAGGTTCGGGAGTTAACCTCCACACGGCTCAGCCCCACGCACGCAATTCGCCTCGGAGCCTTTTTTACATCCGGGTTGGCGGGAAGCTTCCACGTCCCCTGCCCGGAGCATTCAGCCATCCGGCCGGCTCAACCAGTCATGCACGCTGTCCCCCGTGTGAGCTTCTGTTGAAGGAGAGAGGCTGTGACGGGCAGGCACGGCTTTCCGCACTTCGGAAAGCGAGCTTGCGTATCGGGTCGGCACATCGCGGACGTGCTTTTCGGGACTCGCATGACGCAGCGCGCTCACGTGCAGACGGACCTGACGGCTCGCCGAACGGACATCAGCTACGGATGTTGACATTTTTCCTTTTGCGAAACAGAGCTGATGAGGATGTTGCTCCGAATCCTCGATCTCGTAGACGGACAATATTCGGGCCGAGTGTCTGGGATCAGCAACGACCGTCGGCAACGTGCTCTCGTAATGAAGTACCCTCAGCTGCATCGAGCGTTGCGGTGTATGCCGAGCTTGGCGCTAACTGCAGGCGTCTTGCCGCAAAACAACACACAATACCTGAGTGGCCCAAAGAATGGCCTTGTATTGCTGCAGATGGCAGACGAGCCCGCAATGTACCTGGATACCGCCGCATCATATGGATGCCAAGCCAGGCCCCTTCAGTACGGCCTGTCGTAAATCGGGAACCCACACCAGTGGGTTGTGGGCTCATAACGAACGACAATTGACACTCCAGTCAATCAAGGAGGAAGGGGCTCCACCATCATTCCTGTAGAGGTACAGTAATGTTACAGTTGCCGCATTGCTGTTGCCTGTCAATGAAGCTGCATGTCGTAACCAACGAGAAAGTGAGTCATATCGGACCATGGTCACGAGGTCTGACACGGAGGTCATGCTGCAGCGCAGTATCTGCAAGCTAACGACATGCTTGAGCCTTATATATGGACCCTTCTTTCGAAGATGAGACATCTTCCCTCATCACAACTTTCCATCTTCTTCCTCCCTCGTACACAAACACACACACACACACACACACAC